AATGTCACCAGACTTGGTGGAGATGTTACATGTCAGATTGAATTGGGAAACAGCAGTTTAATTAATTCAGTTGATTCAGTCTGATTCATGAGGCCACAGAAATGAGAGGAGAAGGGAGAAACAGACCAACTGTGATGAAGGGACATGATTTTTATCATTCTATTTTATGAACAGAAATCAGTGATAAACATGTTTTGTTTGTGTCTGCATCTAAATGTTTAAATGTTTTGTTCCTGTAGGTCTTTAACGGCGTATATGCTCATCTACAGAAGAAATGACAAAGGATCTGCCTTCACCTCAATCATGTAAGAAACTCCATGTTATTGACAGTGAGTAAATGCACATGCCCAAAAAGTTCAATGTCCATTAAGTAGTACGAGAGAGAGACAGACACAGAGAGACAGACACAGAGAGAGACACAGAGAGAGACAGAGACAGAGACAGAGAGACAGAGACAGAGAGAGAGAGAGACAGAAACAGAAAGAGAGCGAGAGAGACAGATGGAGAGAGAGAGTGACACACACACACAGAGACACAGAGAGAGAGAGAGAGAGAGAGAGACAGATGGAGAGAGAGAGACACACACACACACACACAGAGAGAGAGAGAGAGAGAGAGACACAGAGAGAGAGAGAGAGACACAGAGAGAGAGAGATGGAGAGAGAGACACACACACACAGAGACACACACAGAGAGAGAGAGAGAGAGACACAGAGAGAGACACAGAGATCCTTTTTTGATCTGGAGGGAAACTGCAGTTGGCTCGTGCTTACTTCACTCTGGTTTTTCAGTTGGTGATGAAATAGTCTGGGAACCAGAACCCTCCTGTGTGATTATTTTGCTACCTTTTTCAGAAATTCAATTTTTCAACCGGACAAAAGTTTATTTAAGATGAAAATGTTTCTCAGCTGCTTCTTCAGTTCTGCTCAGACGCTGGTGGACACTTCCTTATATCTGCCTGAAGGGAGGAGCTAACTACACTCAAACGAACACACTACTGTACATTTTAAATATAAAAAATACATCAGACTTATATAGAGCTTATTTGGACTCTCAAAGACGCTTTACAAACAAATAAGAAATAACTCTGTAGAAAACAGGGGAATCAAGGGGGAATGCCAGATTGAACTGGTGAGTTTTTAAAAGTGATTTGAAGTTCCTGATGGATTGTGGGAGTGAGTTCCAGAGAGAGGGGGCGGTGGCGGCGAAGGCTCGGTCCCCCAGGGGGAGTGAGGAGGTTGGTGTCGGCTGATCTGAGGCGGCAGGTGGGACAGAGCAGACAGAGGAGGTCAGTGAGATGGAGGGGCCAGGTCATGGAGGGACTTGTAGATGATGAGGACGACCTTGTATTGGATGTGGTATTGTACAGGGAGCCAGTGGAGTTACGGGTGTGGGTGAGGAGGCGGGCGTGGGTGAGGAGGTGGGTGTTGCAGTACTCGAGTCTGGAGTTGATAAAGGCATGCATGAGGATTTCTGCGGTGGGCTGAGAGGGAGAGGCAGAAACAGGTGATATTGTGGAGATGGAAAAAAGATGTTTCAGTGATGTGGCTGATGTGGGTTCTGAATGAAAGGGTTTGGTCCATGATGATATCAAGGTCGGTGTGGCCATCGATGAAGAGGGAGATGTTGTTGATGAGTTGATGCCCCCCTTACACACAAACATACACACATGCACACACAAAGCCCACTTACATGTTCCTGACTTCAAGTGCAAGTTCAATCCTTGAACATCTTGAACACTTCACATTGGCTCTCGCACAGGAGCATCCTTGGGCACACATGCTTTTTTGCAGTGGCAGTATTTGTTGAGTTTGAGTTCAAATTGTTTTGCCTCAGCATCACGGTTGGCATCAATCTGCCACTGACAAATTGTTTCCCAAAATCAGCGGGAGCTGGGCAGGTTGTCTGGACCATGTGCGTCTGCTTACACACAACCAACTGATGCAGAGCCCAGCAGAGGTGTAATAGAAGGCATCTTAAGTTGGTGGAAGGCAGCACATGTCTCCTTTGATGCTCACAAAGAGATGGGCTCATAGTGCATCTAGAGCACCACCCTAGTCACTCTTGAAGTCATTTCTTGAACCTCCAGGCTTTTCTCTGGGTCATCGTTGAATGAACGCCATGGCATCTACTACCATTACAACAGGCTTGTCAGATGACGGTGTAGCCCAGGCAACATAATATGATTAAGTGTATTTTTTTTGTTCATAAAGTGTTGTGGCCGATCTTTTTCTGTTGTTGTTTATGCGATCAGCTGATCGCCCCGTCAGCGACGCGCCTAATAGTATAAAGGGACACACATGTGAGCGCGCAAGGCCCCAACTCACCGCTGTGCCGCTGACGCTTGTTCGGGATCGAAAGGACGTAATATGGATTACTAACGGACTGTACCGGTTTGGACCACGTTTACAGTGCCAAAGATCAGACCGACGGGACCCAGCTCGACCCGGTGAGATCCTCCATGTACTTTGCCTTTGCGCGTAGATCGAGGTGCGCCGCACGAGAGCACGCACTGCCGCTGCGGAACCTTTGGATATAAATTTTGTTTGAAGATCCTTTGGGATTTATGAGACTGTTTTAAAGGGGTGCAGTGGGATTCGGTGACTCTGGATTAAATCAATTCATCGGAGGAAAGACTGATTGGGGCGTGCGCGCGGACAATTAAAACTATTAAGGCGCTGAATGAACTTTTGATTTGGCAGTGTCTGTATAAGCGGCCTAATATAATTTAAATTTGAAACAGTCATACCTTTGCCTTTGTTATATTTTATTTATTACAAGCAGACCATTATATATAGTTTTAAGAAATAATCAGTTACCCAGATATTTTCTCTTTGATTGATAATCTCCTGCGCACAGTCCGAAATAAATGTAAAAATGATGGCTCAGTCAAAAAAAACTTCACTTAAGTGGGTTTTTATTCGCACCACAGCTCCAAGTGCAGAGTGAAATATTTACAGTGACAAAAAAAATGAGGTGGTAGACAGAAGTATTTACAAACATATGTACACTAATCACTTACAGTTGCAGCACCCACGTAGTCAGGCCAAATACCCACTCCAAATGACTGGAGCTCCCTCCTTTTATACCCCCTGAGCCCCTCCCCCCGGGCTAACCAATTAACGAAAATGGGGTTTTAAGGAATTAACATAAGCAAAATTGTATTGAGGAACACAAATCAACTTGGAAATAAACATAATAAAAATAACTTAAAGAACCCCTCATAAGGTTAACATAAGTTTCATTAAACAACTTCAAAAACCCACAAATGACCCCAAATAGACACAATGGTCGAGTCCACGATCACATGTCCCCCTGGAGCGCCACTATGCGCTATTTAAAGCACAACCAGGAAGTGCCTCGGTTTGGCCCTAAACTCAAGAACGGCGCGGAGGCTGCTGCAGGTAGGAAAGCAGCGTCGGCGTCGAGTGTGCACCTCGAACGCACGAGCCGGGAAACCGTTCAGATGTTGGGGAAAAACAGGACCTGCATAAACCAGTCTATCAGAGCTTAGCTCCTCAAAACGGGGAGGGAAGGAAGCGTCGCGCTCTTTGGCCAGATGCAGACGCGCCAGTCGGGAGATGACGGGGCAACACAGGCGCTCCGTCACAAACTGCCCTAGCAAAATGAAAGAGTACAAGTCACATGACACTCTCCCTATAAAGCTAAACTGTTGAACTACATGGGGGCTGCTCAGAACAAGTCACCTCCTGCAGGATGCACACTTATTCTTGGTGGAATCTTTTGTGATCCTGGTCACACTGTCCTCTTGTCAGCAAATTGTCAGGTTGAGCTTCCAGAAGTTTCCTGTGAGAAACATGAGGAGGCAGATACCAGGATGTTTGCTCACATTGCATCCTCACTACAAATTATGCACCACAAACAGGCTGTAGTGGTTGCAAATGACACAGATTTGATCATGATGTGCATGTACTACATCACACACATGGATGGGCTGCAGGAGGTGTGGGTGAAGATGATGGATATGTTCCTGTTCATGCCATCAAAGAAGCTCTGGCGGGGAAGTATGATGTTGCAGCTTCAGATCTTACATCTCTTCTCCTCAGCATCTACATACTTACTGGATGTGACACAGTGATCTATGTGTACAGCCCACAGCCCCTGGAAGTACCTCCCCGGGCTAAAGGCTAATCTGGGATCATGTGCCATTGAGCTTGGCCCATTGACTTGAATGAGCGTCCATTTTGAAACCCCGGGGCTTGGTAGCAACCCACAGAAAACAAAGACACAGCGCCACATAGTGACCAGAGGTGCATTTTGGCTGCTACAGGTCATGGGTCAGTGATGGTTTAGGGAGGTAGATCCATGGAGGGACGCACAGACCTCTACAGGCTACAAAACATCTGTGTGACGCCATCAGGCATCAGGATGAAACCAATGAACCCACTGTCAGACCCTACACTGATGCAGAAGGTCCTCGTTACACCTGATGCACGACACATTTAACTTGAACGTTAAGTGAGAATCCGTAAAAAAACTGTTCACAAAAAGGCAGACTCTGGTTTTGAACCTCAGGCAGGTCACTGGTAACAGGTGACAGGTTTTGACCGTAGTGAGACAGAGGAGAGACTGAGATGGTACAGAGCACAGAAAGGTCACAACTGACTTAAAATGAGTCCATCCACAGAGTCCTGCTCCAAACCAAAGCAGCATCTGTCAGTATTATCACTCAAATCCACTTTTAAAAGAGCAGCATTTAAATTCATTTTAAACAATCTTATACATTAAAAACAATTATAATATATATTTTTTTTATGTTAATATAAACATAAAGCATAACAGACCCTGTGATATTCCAGATCCATGGGGAAGTTTTCAAAATTTTATTTGTGACCTCTGCCCTAAACCATCTCCAGGTTTACATGTAGGAATTATCAGTTTGAGAAGTGTTCAGGACATTTTTTTAAAGTTGGCCTGGAACACACTTTGTATAAGTCCTACTTTGCTTTAAAAA